ATAATATTTTTTTATATATAAATAATACTCAAGTTCAAATTAATAGTCTTAGTTATTCAATTCATATATCCTGCAACTGATTACTTTTTTTACCTATATTTCATATGTATCTTAATATAACAAATCACATAACTGCAATAATTAGCAAGATAAGAAAAATATATACTGATAGTAGTAATATCAAACTACTTGTTTTAACAGGAAAAGGCAAAGCCTTGAGACTAGATCTTATTGCTTCTATCTCTTCTATTAGAAGAAGCAAAGCCTTAAGACTAGGTTTCATCTGGAAATTTGATTTAATCAATGAGGATATGTATGCTTTAGCACTAGCTCTGCTGTTATTTTTTAGCAGTTATATAATACTTTTTGATATTTTTGTTATATAGTTTTTATATTCTGTTTTTTTATATTAAATATATTAAAAAAAATTGAAACATCATATGACTTTGATCATATTATAAAAATGCAAGATTATAATAAGATTGATACTAAAGCCCTTACTTATATCAAAAAACATGAAGAATAATGCTTGGCTAAAGTTAGATCAAACCCTAATATTTATTTATAGATTTGTAAAAATCAGCATTGATGAAAAGCATTCTATAGAGATATAAAACCAAATTATAGGTAGTGCAATAGTTGTTCTTATATATTTGAAAGAACATGTTAATATATATTTGAAGAATATTGCATAAAAAATTTCCATCTTGAAAACCTAAATTTTTAGAAGACTTACAACTAGATAGGTATAATGAAGAATTACATTTAGCTTTTAAATATAGTGGTAATCAACATTTTTAAATCATTTCATTTTTTTATCTACAAGGGCAAATTAATTTAGATTTACAAATTTAACATGATTAAAGAAAAAGAGCACTCTGTTTTAAAGAAGGTATAATTCTTATCACAATTCCTTATTGCATTATTGATTTGCCAACTTTTATCAAGTGTGTCTTGAACACATTCAGTTATCTTTCAAGACCCACCTAGAAGATAATATAGGTTTTTCCTTAATATATTCTCTTACAAAAAGATGTTAAAAACCTATTTCATCTAAATAATATAATACAGGCATTGGTGAATTTTTTTTAACAACAATTTTCTGAATTTTATGAAGACTTGAACTTCATACTGAATCTGTTATTCTTTGTTATTCAAAGAGATAATTTTCTATTCATCAGAAGCAAGTAAAAATCAAACTATAGTTTCCTTTAGTAATTGTGGCTCATTAGCACCTACTGGATGATAATACTTTGTTGATAACTTGAAATAAACTCATTCAAGTTTTATGGCACTATTAGGGCTCATCCTAATTAACTAAGTTGAGGTAACATTCATATTATTAACAATTCTTCTTGCAAATTGTTCATATTTCTATAATATTCACCAGTAGGTAAGAGAAATTCTATCACATATTGATTCTTAAAAACTCTTAAAGTAAAAAGTCCAGCATAACAATCAATTATTGTTAGACTTGTATGTATGAAGTGAGTCTTTATTCTTCTAATTTTAATATTATGCTTACCTATTAATAAAGTTATACTCCCTATAAATTCATGCTCTTCATCACATTGCAACAATCAAGAATATGTAAAGTGATTATTAAGATTTTCATAAATATTTCTAAATGCATTGGCAACTTCTAAACTGCTTTTTAATATTAAAAAAACAAAATCTTTATATCTATTTGCACAATCTATAACTAATAATATATAATAAAATATTTCATTATCTTCATTCAATAAATTTATATACTTGTCTTTATCATATGGTATCTTAATTAAATTGCATTAATGAATACAATTAGGTTTTAAAATTCTAAAATAACTAGCATAAGGTGTATTCTTTGGTAAAGAATGATAAATTTGATGCAAGTGGAAAGTTGTATTTGGCCTTTATATAAGCATTTTACAATCTTTTAGCATTTTGGTAATAACCTTCAGGTTGGTAATATAATTTTTGCAAAACAATCCCTTTATCCAAATCATGAGCTCTTTAAGGACTAATATTTATTATGAGCTATTCTATTCTTTTAGCTTTAACAATTTCCCTATCCAAATCATAAACCCTCTGTGAATCAATATAAATTATAAGTTTCTCTATTTCTTTGTTTTATTATAGTAGATAAAAAATAAAGGAATTACAACAAAGTAATTAAGAACTTCATAAGGTAGTATTACAATTAGCAAAATCAAATAGAAATTTTGAACAGTGTCTATATATCTTAAAAAGAATTATCAGCATATAGAAGAAAAGAATACAGTTTTTTGAAGAAGAGTTAAATAATACTATCAAACTATCTAGGCAAAACAAAGAAGAATTAACAGAAGAAATTTTAAAATTAAAATGAATTGTCTAACAGCTTAAAGAGAAAAATAAAAGAAAGATAAAGAAATTTCAAATAAGAATGAATTAATAACAGAATTTGATGAATGAGAGACAAAATTAAAAAACTGAATATGTGAGATATCCAAATTTGCAGGCAATACTCCAAAGTACAAGATTATATAACCAGATTAGTAAACAAAAATGAACAGCTTAAATAAGAAATAAATATGATAAAAACTAATTAAATAAATAGAATTAACAAAATAACCTAGCAAAAAAACTATATTACAGACCTTCTTTGTCAAAATTTTGCATTAGCATTATTGAGATATTAAGATAAATTAGAACTTATAAATATTCAAAAGGCTTTACAAAATGTGCAAACATGGAATTTTAATGAAAATGAATCTGACTCTAATGAAAATTCTTTAAATATTTATAATTTTAATTAAAATTTATATATAGATACAATAGCTAAGTTAGTTGATACTATAGACTAATCTTTAAATGATACAGCAATATGTAGAACTGTTTTAACAAATCAAATTAAAAGATCAACAAGATCAATCTGACATAAATACATTAATCTACAACAAGTCTGATAAATGTATAATGGAACTGAGATACATATAGACAGGAGTAAGATCAGGCATTGCTTGATCTTTAGCAGTTGCAAACTAATGCTCAAAATCAAGTAAACAGAATATTAAACAATATAACAGAAAAGTGAACCTGTATTGGTGTATTACTACAGGAAAAATTTGTCTTACAACTACTGTATCTGCAAAAGGCTTACCATCTATAGCAATGCAGAGCCAATAGAGGTTTGCTAGAATATAATCAAGATAGATTATATAAATGATATGAGAAGCAGAAAAATAAAACTCATGCAGAGTGACAAAATATTTTAAATTTAAATCAACAAATTTTGGTGTTACATAATAATTCACCAAATCAAATAAATATGGCTGATGCTAGATGTTTACTAGTATTAAAATTAATAGCTTCTATTCTTACAAAATTTCAATTTTATATAAGCCAAGAACTATCTGATAATTATTTAGATAAAGTTATTTAATCATAAGCATATCTTGAAGGGCATATAACAGTTCTTAAGAATGCAAATGCAAGAGATTTTGACAATGTGATTAAGTGTAATATTTTAAAATCTATGATAGGTAGAAAATATGCACCAGTATCAGCAAATAATGGTCTTGTAGTAGGAAATTCAGCTATAAATTTTCCAAATACATTACAAGTTTGGATGAGAGCAAAATATTAGCGAGAAACTGTTGGAAATCAACAATCGATTATTCAAAGATTGACTTAAGAAAGATATCAACCTTATGATACTTCAGATACCTATGAAGCTAGAATTAGACCATTATTATTAGAGGTAATAGACAATGATATGCAAGTTATAGGATTTCTTAAAAGCTACTTAATAGGTAATTTTTATACTTAGATGAGAATCACCAATCCTGTGAACATTAATGCATTTTTTACTAAACTAAAAAATATATAGTTAGAACATAGATAAAATTTGAGTAAAAGGATCTCAGAAAAATCAAGTCAAATTGCCAACCAAGAGCAAGCTTTATCTAGTATAAATTTAGTGTCCTATTCTTTACTACTAGTTATCCTAGCTTCTCAATAGCAAAAAATTTCTTTAGAAAATATGCAAAAAGCAATCCAAAATGTACAGTACTAGCATAGCAAAAAACTAAATACCAGTTTTTATTAGAAAAGCAAAAAGCTGATTTCTAATCACAAATGGCCTAGCAAGTGCAAGTATCTGTACTATAAACAGTAAAACCTGTTAGATAGCCAAAAGGTCTTCTATCATTATTGCAATCAGAAAAAGGTCTTAAAAATTATTACATAACCAAATACTTAAAAGATATAAGTATATTTAGTCAAAAAGAATTAGATACAGACTATTCTATAAAACCTTTTTAAAGACCTTATCCTCAACAAAACCAATCTATAAAAATAGATAGAATAGAATTGAAAATAGATGAAATCAGTCAAATAACATCTCAATTCAAGAGGATAATAGTTGATAATTAATTCAAAAAACTTGTAGCTAAATCAAATTTAATATATTAATACTTTTCTCTTTTAATACCTTCCTAATTCCAATATGCATCTCCTGATTTGGATGATAATGAGGATGAAGAAGGTGGATATAATGAGAAAGAGAATAGATGACATGCTCCATCTCAGTTAGAAAAAAAAAACAGATACTAGTAAATGAAAAAATGCTTTCAGAATTTAGTTAGCCTGAAACATATAATAAACTATTACCAATGCTTTTACTAGCAATGCATAAAATGTGTTAGTCTTATATAATTCAGGAAAAAGAATTAAAATCAAATGAATAGTTTTTGTTATTGCAATAATTGCATTGTAATATAAATGATCTATTGATTACTAATTTTTTTTAGATAGTGTAAGTGAATTCAAGAAAGTAAATGATGCAACAATTAATGCTCTAAAGTAGAAAGCTGATAAGCCTTTTAACTTTGCTATAAAGAATAATTCCAAACATATATCTGAATCATTAGGATAGGATACAGATATGCCAATTAGTGTAAAGGACAAGATGATAAGATTGTTATATCTACTAAAAATTTTGCTCATATTAATAATAGTAAACCTAAACTAATGTTATGTTTAGGTATAACATGGATTCGAAAAGTTCAAGATATACTTAATTCAAATAAAAATCAATTTTAAATTAAGTTACATAGGAAGACTTATGTTATTCCAACATATAACAAAGCTCTAGTAGCTAAGGATCTGCCAAAAGAGGAGCAGAAGGTAGTCTCTTAGGAATCCTCCTCAAATGATTCAGCCCAAATTTTCTCTAGTCTGACTAGTGAAAATAATTTAAAAAAAAGTGTAAAGAGCTTGAAAAACAACTTATAAAAACTAAAGAGTGGCTTGATATGACTCTAAATGCAGGTAAGGTTCTTGCAGAAAGAAGTTTTCAACTTACTGAGACAAAAATAGAAGAATAGAAGCTAATCTTTTAGTATTTTTCATTAATTTTTGAAGATTATTCTTTCTTCTTGATGTATTATTTATAGGAAAAGTACTTTTTTTATTGCACATGATAAAGTAGAGCTTTAAATCTTTGGTTGTCTCATCTCTGCTGATTTATCTGATAAAACTTCAAAGTAATTCATATTAGTTGAGAGGCTAGCTTTATAGCTATTTATATTATATAAATTATTGCTAAAGCTTAGTACTTCATAGCTATATATATTATTTATTTTATATGATTGAGATATAGGTTAATCCCAAGTAACTCTATTAGCTTCTTCTTCTTTCCAGATCTGATAAATCCATTTTAACGATGTTTTATATTTATCTAATAATTTTTTTAAAATTTTGTATCTTGGCTTTATATCACAAAATTGCATTATATATGAATAATCTTTAGCTAAAAACAAAGGTGCATCAGATTTTATATATACTCTAACCATAATAATAAGTATAATTAATTTGTTTTTTTATCTAATAAAATATATTAAAAAAAATAAAAAATAAATATATATCAAAAAATTGAATATATCAAATATATAGAATTATATTATTTATTTAATACATATATTATATCTAATATATTACAATTAGTATATTAATAAATATGTATATTCTATTTAATACATTATATCTATGTTTTATTTTTATTTTATTAATATAATAATAGAGCTAGTGTTAAAACAAATATGTTTCAAATTTATACATTGTCAGATATGCCTTAAAGAGGCATTCCTAAAGAGCCAAATAAAGGCAATAAATTATTGTGAAGCAATAGCTCTTTGAGCCTAGGTGACATACCATCTAGTTGATATTTGCCTAATTGAGTAAAACTTGAAAACCAGTTTGCTTGTGCAAATCAAGATCGAGAAAACCTTACATCTCAGATTATTCAATCACAGATTTCCTGTAATGGGTATAAAGCCAAGTATGATATCCAATTAAAAGAAATAAAATCACTTTAGGCTATAATTAAGATATTAAAAGGTAAGTTAGCATTAGTCCAAAAAGATGCATTTTTGATTCAAGAAAATTCATCAAAAAAAGATTCTAAGATTATGTCTCTTAAAGCTGAACTAGAGCATATAAAGAGTAAATTGGCTTCAAAGATTAATAAGCTTAAATTATTAAAATCAGATATTACATCAGCAGAGTTAGCATGGCCAAGATTTGCAATTATTAGAGGTAACAAAAAAATATGTAGAACAAGAAACAATCATTACTTTGCAGGCCCTTTAAGGCAACTCTTTGAGTCATAATAATCTTGCTTAACATTTTGTATATAGAAAAAGTATAAAAGAATCCAAGATAAGTAACTTATGGAGTGAGAATAGTAAATCATCTGAAACTAATATTAGTGAAACTAATAAGAATAATATATTTTAATTTCAAGAAATAGTAGAGCTACTACAAGTAAAAAATATAACACCTTTCTTTCTAGCTGATTTTTTTTTTCTAATTGAACTGCAATCACAAATTTTAGTGAAAGTAATTTCTATGATAAGTGTATTGAGGTCTCCAATGTTTGCTTTGCTTTTACTTGCTTTATTAATTATTGCTACTATATAGATTACATTTATTAGACAGAAAAAAATAAAAAACAAAAATAACAATATATATAAAGATATAATATCTCTGATTCAATTATAATAGCAGAGCTAGTGATAAATTATATATTTTTATACCAATATGCAAAAAATGAAACTATTTCTTATAGATATGAATGAAGCTAATAAGCATATTACATCTTGTTGTCAAACTCATCCTGCTAGTCCTACATGGCTCTTCAAAATAATAGTTAGCAAAAGAAGCAGATCAGGTAAGACTAATTTAGTTGCAAATCTTGTTTTAAGTAATAAAGGTAAATGCATATATAAAGAGAAAAAAAGTGGAAGAAGATATATTTCTTGTGATGATTTAATTGTATGTAAATATCATCCTAATGTGGCAAAATAGGCATTTGTTAGATATATGTATAAATTAATTGCAAGTAATCCAAGAGCTTTATATTACAAAAATATTAGATTTATCTATATTTTATCTGAAAAGATTCCTAGAGTAGATTTGTTCTCATCTAAAAGAAGTAAAGTAATTATTTTTGAGAATATATGTTTAGCATTAGAACATATTCAAAATTGAATTAGCTAGTTTTTTATATAAGAATGCTATAGAAATATTAGTCCAATTTACATATTACAGAAATTTCATAAAATTTCACTTATTAATCATAAAAATTCCAATTACTTGGTATTATTTAACTCAGATAGCTCATATAAAGATATTTTAAAAATTATTTGTTGATATACTGATAATGTAAAAAATGCATCTATGTTATTAACAGCTATTTATAAAAAGATGAGTTCATTGTATTTAATTTAGATAGACTCAAGAAAGATTTATTGGCAATTTGGTTAGGATTTAATACATTATTAAATTTGCAGAAAGAGATAGAGTTATAGCAAAAGCACAAAATAAGTTTGAAGAACCATTGCTTTGTAATAAAAAATTTATTACCTGCTGAGCTCATAAATTTGAAGCTAAAAAATCAAAATAAAAAGTCTATAGTGTTATAGTATGCACTTCATAGATTTTTATTTTATTTTGTGCACTATCCAATTGTGATCTTAAAAATAGCATTAGGAAAATGATAGACAACAACTCTATGCAAAAAAAGTTATATTAATAAATCAAATAAATAGATACATGTTATAATAAATTAAGCTATACATTGTTAATTTGATGTGTTTCTTTTCTAATTTCCTATAAAAGTTTATAATACTTAACTAACTATGTAGCACAAAGGACAGAGGGTTGGTAATAATATTCAATAAATTTTCTTTGTATAACCCTTACAGCTCAAATTTTTTTCCAATCTCTCTTGCAAATTAACTCTTCTGATAGCATTTTGCATTCACAATTTATAATGATAAATTGCTTCTTTTTTAAAGTAGGAGTTACTAACTTTGGATCTGCTTTTAAGTTCCATATAGTCTTTATAACTAATATCACAATAAGTGTTTTCTGTACAATTTGTGCCCCAATGCTCATCTATAAAATAACAAAATTTATACTCATACCCATATCCTATTTTAGAGTAAACTAGTTCATTGCATGAATGACATATTGCTATACTTATGCCTATAGCATAGCCAAGATCACTTTTTCATAAATATTTCATTTTTCTAATGATAAGATATCACTTTTTATTATTAGTTAAATGATTATTATTCTTATAATTAGTCAACTGATCTCAGATTTGGGTCTTCTAATCAGATAGTGTTTTACTTTTGTGGATTACTAGAAATTAACAGTTATCTCTCTATTCAATATCTTTCAAAACTGAACATTTATCTGTATACATATCAGCAGATTTATGGAATTGGTCCTAAATTGATCCTAAATTGTATCCTCAAAGTTATCCTCAAAATGAATACCA